GCTCGACAGCCTCTTTCCACACCTCAAGTCCTTCCACTTCAAGGGACAGTTTAAGTAAATCACCTGATTTGTAACTTTGGAAATAATAAACTGGGCATGCACTTACCTGATGCCTTCAGCCATAATAGCTCACGTAAGAGGAGAAAAACAGATTAGCCCTATAGGATGCTACAGGAGATTTCAATTTTCTTTAACTGAAACTCCCTGACTTCCCATCAAGTCTGAGAATTTGACAAATATGTTTAGGGATCCTTGAGTTTCTAAATCATCACACTATCCCTACATAGCTTTGCCAGAGGTTTTACAGGTTTCCCCTTCCCCCATGGAGTTCCTCTATGTTCCCAAGCCTGATTCTTATTCCATGTCCAGAATCTGCAAATGCCCCGGGAAGGAAATGCTGGTGACAGACTGCTCACTCCAGAAAGTCTCCCCCTTCTCTGGAATTTTAGGCCATGCAATCCTCTTTCAGAGCTTTCCAGAATCTTTAATGACGACTCCTGAAATGCATCCAGCAATTTTCGCTGCAGCAGCATGTCGGTAGTCTGCCATGACCTACACATCCTACCCAGAACTGAAGTCAAAACCTTGTTGAACACCTCCCCTAAAAAAAGTCCTCTGATGGGTATTAACATGATCCTGTACTATCTGCTCTTTTTTGGCCCATTTCCACAAGTCCATACACATCCCTTTTCTCTGACCATACCATCTTACTCCTTTCAGGCCTTTGTCCAACTAGCCAAGTCACTCCCTACTACCCAGGAATCCATGTCTATCTTTATCCCTTTGTGCAAACTGAACAACCAAGTGCACTGCTGCACTCAGTTTTCTCGCTACTGTCCTGCAGGGCTGTAATGCAGCAGCAGTCCCTTTGGAGCACACATCTACAGAGAGAACCAACTCATCCACAAGCCAGACCTGGGGTTTTCCTCGGGTTTCCCTCTTCCAGAAGCTGGCTGCAGGAGTCCCCTCCCCCATGAGGCCATAAGTGTGGATGGGAGGCACTGGTGAACAGCAATGACAGAGGAATCTGGGCTACCTGCTATATTCCTTGGTTGTGCCTGCTGAACTGCTCAGGCCTAATCCTAAATGTACATTTTCATGCTGCATGGATTGCTGCTGCACCCACCCAACCTTATGACCTGGTGGGTCTGACAATAACCAGCATGATGGGTGGCTCAGGTCACTTGAGGTCCCAGGGTTGGGTGTTCAGTCTCTAATTGAGCCCAGTGGGAGGCCAGAAAGTTCTTTTCAGACTCACTCATTTGAAGGTGAATAGTTTTCCACCACATGGCCCTGCTCCAGAATCTTAGGGTCTGTGCTGCAACTTCCCTGTTGGGCCTGCCAAAAACTACACAGCACCCCTATCTGCCCCAGATAGCATTAGCTCTATTGGAATTTCTGGGTCACGTGGAGCAGGAGCGGTTTGTAATGCAGCTTAGACAGCCTTCAGAGTCCTGTCTTTTTCTGGACTCCCACTCACAACTGGCAGGTTTGTGAATTACTCAGTAAATGCATTGAGACAGTATTCTCAAGTACCGCATTTTTGTCTCCAAAATCCAGAGGCCCAACAAGTGCTACAATTCTTAGTGAGGGTAGTAGGGATGAGGGTGCGTGTAAGGTTCCAAATCTGCCACCTTAGGTGGGTATCTCTCAGAATGGCCCACACCATTAATACCTAAAATCATTATCAATGTGGTGCCTACATGAAGGGGGGTGTCTCTCAGAATGACCCACACCATTAATACCTAGAAACATTACCAATGTGGTGCCTACGTGAACCTTCATGGCGTTTATTTCACACCCTCTCGCGCATGTCTTTTCCTAGAATTTCCAAGGGAAATTCTAGCTGAGTGGCCTCCTGCCAATGTTCTATAACACGGCGCCAGAGGAGCCTAAGAACAGAAAACAGGAGGTCTCTAGGAAGCCTGCAGCTGTGGCCGGCCTGAGGTGGGGCTGAGGACAGAAGGTAATCCATCAGAAGGATCTAGCAATGCACAGTACATTGTTTCCCCAATGACTAGCATTTACTTTATGGTCATTATTTGGGATGTATAAACAACCCTGGGATAAACTGCTCTGTATTAATGTTCTCTGCTTGTATCTTGAATTATTCACTTCGATTACATGCCCAGAAGTGGAATTATTAAGTCAAAATTTTTATTATATTTTTGCATTTGTAAATTTATTGTATTTTTTAGAAAACAATCTGGCAGTGTGCATTAAAAGCCTTTGAAAAAGTTTTTAGAAAAAAACTTTTTTCTAAAGAGTTTTTAGAAAAAAACTTTTTTCTAAAGAGTTTTTAGAAAAAAACTTTTTTCTAAAGAGTTTTTAGAAAAAAACTTTTTTCTAAAGAGTTTTTAGAAAAAAACTTTTTCTAAAAAGTTTGGAATGGCGAAGACTTATGCTCTACTGGCAGTTTGTATGTGACACCACTGGCTTTACTGAGCAAACAAACTACTGTTAATAATCTAAACTCGGTAGGGTGCAGTGGCTCACGCTTGTAATCCCAGCACTTTGGGAGGCTGAGGCGGGCAGATCACAAGGTCAGGAGATCGAGACCATCCTGGCCAACATGGTGAAACCCCGTCTCTACTAAAATACAAAAAGTTAACCAGGCATAGTGGTGTGTGCCTAGAGTCCCAGCTCCTCGGGAGGCTAAGGCAGGGGAATCACTTGAACCCAGGAAGCAGAAAGCAGAGAATGCAGTGAGCCAAGATCAAGCCACTGCACTCCAGCCTGGCAACAGAGTGAGACTCCATCTAAAAAAA